TGTGACCGCAAAAAGTTACGGGGTCTGAGAAGAACAGACGCGGGCCAAGACGCGAGATGTGGATGGGGCTAGGAACATGTAGCCCAACCGACAGATTGCAGCGAGCACAAGTCCCCGGACGAATGGGTAAACGGCAGGCAACTAGCCCTCAATGACCGAGTGAAGCACTCGGGCAGTAGTCACACGGTACACTGTCGGCATGACAACAAGCACTTAAGGGTACCTTTCCACCTGCACACAAACGCCACCAATTCGACGGCTCAAATGTCTACTCTTTCAACCGTCGTCGGGCCCCAATCTACCCAGGCACCTGCGCACAATCGCATCGACGTTGAGACGTCAAGGCTAACAGGTCTACACATGTGAATCGAGATACTGGCATACTTACGATGGGGTGTGTGATTCACCGGCAGACACAGAGAGCCGGAGGTATCGAATTGCCTGCAGATCGTCACAGCATCAAACAATCTGACTTCAGTTGCTTATCTCACCTCAGAGGGGTGCGTTGTGTCAATGGGACTGTCGCTAGCGTGTCGCATGCCTAGGCAATGGCATCAGCGCGAGATCTACCCAACAGGTCTACAGGGCATGCTGTTAATTGTATGCATAAAAAGTGAGCAGACAACCAGGCCACCGGATAGATGTGCGATTGCACAAAGTAGCCCGGCTCCTCCACAAGCTTATTCACTAACATACAATCGCAGGCTGTGCAGCAGCCAATGAGCGCTGGCCTAGAGGAGGTAGGGTCCTGAGTGGACTGGAGCCTAGGCCTCGGGGGGAGGGTGTATCAACGCCTCCACCGGTTTAGCGCAGACTGTCAGAACGAACTTAACTTTAAGCTGTCTTTGTGCCTCTGTTACCACATTGGCTGTCTCTCTTTATCTCTCTTTCTTCTTTCTTTATTTCTTTCATTCACGAATTACTGCTAACTTCGAGTCATACTCACATCGAAAATATGGGCATGTCCCATCGTACAACCACGGTGGAGGCCTTTTAGGCATACCGGAATACTGACGCGTGGGGTGTATGTGTGCCGTTGGTGTTTGGCGTGGAAGTTCGTATGTCAGGGCAAGCGATTTGGCCGAGCCAGACTGTCGGACAGACGAGGTGGAGTCAAGTGGGCCTGGAGCGGAGCGTGAAATGGCACGACTGGCCAATGCGATTGACGATAATCGGCTGGCCTCGTATTCTTTCGCCAGTTAGACACCGGCACGTCTTCTCCCCTCCGCCAGACCAGCTCGGAGTTGAGCTCTCAGTTCACCTCCTGGTTGTGTGCGTGTAGTGAATGCAGCCGCCGCTGTTCGTGTTTGGCAAAACTTCGAATTAGGCGCCGGCAAATGTTGACTTTCTCTCGTGCTCATCCATAAAAACACTGTTGCATAGCTCAAATGGGCATAGGCAATGCGATAATCACTTTAGCCTCGGTAGCCAGGGCAACGTGCAAACTGTAAAACGTTCGCCCTGTTCCCATACACTGAAAGTTTTGAGAACAGTTGGTTGGTGGCCTTCATATTCGGGTAAAATGGTGTACGTAAATGCTGACATTTTGGACCGCCTTCAGCATTATTTACTTATTAATTCGTCCTCTTTCACAAAAGTTTCACACATTAAAAATTCTCAAATGTCAGGGCGGAGAACACAACATTGTGAGGTTTACACTGACGATTGGGATGGACGAAAGCTCAGCACGTTTTCACCCGAAACGAGGGAGGAATACTCGTGG